CAATAAACTAGATATAGCAATAAGCTAGCTGTAGCAGTAAGCTAGATGTAGCAATAAACACAGTCTGTGTCCTCATTCACACATCTACATGCACATTCACACACCCATGGGACACAAATAGGAGATTATGAGGGGTTCAGTGTCCTGCTCAGGGACATGTGGTGGCATATTGATGGAATCCAACCACCAACACACTGGAGAGAGACTGGAGAAAGATTTTGGTGGAAAAGGTGAAGCACCCACATCTGCCTTCACTCATTTTTCCCTCTTGAGCAAGACTTAACCCTCCAGATGTTCCCCGGACGCCCTCTGCTCCACGTGTGTCCTCACATGGGCCATGTTAAAAGGCAGTAACTAAATTTCCTCAATGGGGATTAACAGAATTAATCTAAACTAGTCTCCCAACAGTCACCGCCCATGGAGTTCCTGGCTTGACATGCTGCTGTAGATTTCTGCTGCCTCCAGCCTAGTGTTCTGTTTTTGTTTTAATTCTGAAAAAAATTGGAGAATGTTGTTGTTTTTTTTTGTAAGGTTGCAGGAGTTCCTCTGGTTTCAGAGGCTTTTGTCCCATCTGGTGTGTATTTTTTTTTCTTTGTTAAATGAGATCTCATGAAACCCTTTTCATCCGCAGAGATCACATTTTACATGTCTGTAACATCTGGAAACGTCTGCCTGTTTTTATTCCCGCTGAGCTGCAGATGTTTGAGTGCCTTTAGCTACAGGTCACATGACCTGTGGTGGTCTTCCCATCCTGTGATTCAAACCAGCACCTTCATGGTCCTCCTCTATCAGACCTGCTGTCTCATCTTCTCCTCCCCTGCTCTGGTCGGACAGGCGAAGATGAAAGGGCCCAGTTGAAAGGACAAACAGCTGTTCTCCTCCTCGTGTGCAGCGACATAAACACTGTGATCACGGATTCTGTGTGGGGGCCAGTCTTAACCCAAACCCTGCCCCTGCAGTGGTTCTGATGAGAGAAATGCTCCCCTCTTGTGCTCTGTGTTTGATGCAGCAAAAAATATAAGCCATGCTGTAACAGAAGAACGTCCTGGTTCTGTTTGATCTGTGACAGAACATCACAGCTACCAGAACCTTCCTGTTAAAGAGCTGCAGCAGAGGAACAATAAATAACTTCTTATTTCTAGTTTGTTACTGTATTCAGACGACCCTGTAGTCAAACAAAAGCTCCTGCCAGGATATTTGCTCCTTCATGCAGAGAAAACCAATCCGGATCAGAACTTTGTAACCGGATCTTCTCTGGCACCATTATCAGCAAAATGTGGACACGATGGAGGAAACTTCCTGCAGAGCTTTTCTTGTTTTTGCACTTTGCCTGAGTCTTTATTTTATCACACAGTAATATTTTTCTACTCGTGGTTCCTGTCGGACAGAAAACTGTGTTTATCGTTGGGAACTTTCTGATGACACACGCTTAGCTGAAAAAGTCTCCAGCTCATATTTAAAGATAACATCTACTTGTTTATTTTTTTATTTATCTTCAGACAGATTTCCGTGCTCTTCCACTGAAGTTTGTTTGTCTGCTCTATCGTTGAGGTGGTGTTTAGGTTCATCAGAACCTGAATGTTGGAGGAGGACGTTTTGACCCAGATTTGTAGAGAAATTCTGTTTGGTTTCAAATCCCAGTAGGTTTGGTGTATGGTAGACGTGGGGTTTTACTGCTGAGTCAGAGTTTTGACTCAGCAGTAAAACCCTGTGACTCAGCAATGCACTGACTCTGAGCTCTCTTAATATGGACAAATGTTAAAGATGAGTTGTTTTTTATCCCTACTAGCATCAAGGCTAGTAGGGATACTGAGTGTAGGCTTACGGAGAGAAAACTACAAAATGGCGGTGCCTGTCTGAAGCTGTTTTTTCGTTCATTTTTTACTGTACAGTATGCAGTACTGTCCCAATCACATGAGTAATATTAACGTTGACGATCATGTGTCCTGTAAGTTTTTTTTTTCTCGTGTCCAATCTTACTTTGAAAAACCACGAAAGTCGAACCGCCAAGTACCAAGGGACTACTGTAGTTAAAATATTTTATGAACCACTGGAGATATTTTATTTAAACTTTCAAAAAGTAATCATAAGGAATATGTCAACATCTAATTATTTTTTACTCGACCTGATTTTGATGGTTGCCACAGCTACTTTAACAAACACAAACATGTTTTTAACTGGGTCGTGTTTTTACAAAACCTGAGTCTTTCTTAACACACCTGCTTAGTGTCAACTGATCAGATTATCTGAAATTATTGGCAGGCAATATGTATTCCTCCAAGGAATGATGGTTTCATATTTTACTGTGTATAAACCAGATTACATTGTTATACAGTCTACTGTGAAGAAATTGTAGGTAATTTAAAATATCCCTTTAAATCTCAAGCGGCATGAGTCTCAAAGTAGCACTTCATTTTCTCTAGCACTGATGTTGAATCTATTCATCTTTCCTTCGTGAGCTGATCTTCATCCTGTGGGTGTTCCTCTGGGATGTGGTGTCAGAACCCTAATGTTTAGTACTCATCTTCACATGTTGGACTTGTTTCTTTAAATGGGATACCAAGTGTTTGTTTTGTTTTAAATGTGACTGTTTTTTTTTAGTTTTTTTTTACCTTTTTCTATTTAAAGTCTCGTGGGGGGTCTGATATATTTTGGTCACATTAATGAGCTGATTGTTGTCGCTCACATGACTTCAAACAGCAGTTACACTGTGTTTAATATTCATCTGCTGCTTTCTATTACACACATACAGCCAGTAATAAACAACAATGATAATAAACAGATTAAACACGTTGCATTGTATTATTCTGGGAAAACAAACCTGCGGCAGTTGAACTTCAGTTCACTCTGCAGGATAAAATTCAAATACAATATTTCTAAAGTGTGTGTAAAAGATGAAGAATAATCCTAATGATACACAAATGTCCAAAATCATGTTTATTTTTAATAAAATCTAAATTACTGTTCCTGTATTGACATTTACATGACTGAACAAATTAAAAGTTTCTTGCAAAAACAGGATAGGATTATTAGCATTATAATGTTTGTTCGTGTTAACAGAAAATAAAAGCAGCTGAAATATAGCTGAATGCTATGCTATGCCAGGGATTTGCCTGGCTAAATAAATAAAGGTTAATAAAATTATAAACAAACAAATTCTAGATTAGTGGAGGCACCTAGTGGCAGAAATGAGAACTACAAAAATAATTCTAAACTACTTACCATAGGGCTAAAAACAAGCAGTCTATTGTACAATGATAGTACAAAAGTCACATAACTTGTAAATAAATCATATTTTATTCCTGAGTAATTTTATGGAGAAAATATCAGGAAATTACATAATTTTTAAACATATTTTTAGCATCATATCACAGAAACATTTAAAATGTGAAGGTCATGATTTTTCTGTAATTCTAAATTGAAGTATCTACCCGGCTGAGTCAAAACTGTTTTTTTCCTTTGGAACTTTATTGTCTCAAAGTATAAGAACAAAGGCAATTTACAAACAACGAAGAACAAATAAGTGTTGAGACTGGGCTCAATAAACATGAAAACAAACAATAGGCACATTCAAAATCAAGCAACAGTCTGACATTGATCAAATAAAATAGACAGTCCTGACCATCTTTGTGAGAATTTTTTTAAATTATTATTTTAATGGCTAAAATTTACTGGGGTTTTTTTGGGGACTGGAATGCCAAATTATTATTTTTTTTTATGCACATTCTTTACAGTGATGAGAAAAAGACAGTCCACCTTTATTCAGTTCTAGGATTTCACATGAAACTTTTCTGGTTGTAAATTTATCCGAACCTAACCTCATGTGAACAAAAACACACAAGAGATTTTAAAATGTATATTTATTAAACAAACTTCAAGTAAAAATGGGGAAACTGTGTCCCCACATCTTTTCCACTCACTGGAACACAAACTTTATGTCATTAGAACTCAACATCATGAGGCCGAACATGTCTCCAACAGAAAAAGAACAAATATATTTGTAAAGTTATCCAGGCATGTAATTATCTGAACAGGACTTTTGTCACATCAGCAATGAAATGTATAAAACATGCCAAAGAACAGAACACATGTGGGATGTAGCTGGAGTGTCTGAGCAACTCTGAAGGATTTTCTCCAAACACAACATCCCAGTACATTTCAAACCCAACAGGACTCTGACAGAGGCTGGTCCATCCTCAGAACAGAATCCAAAAACCCAAACTGAAGTGTGGAGTCTGCAGTTCAGTGCAGCGAGGAACATTCAGACGTCTAAGTTGGAGAAACTAAAGAACAACTCCACAGATACATGGCTCAACACAGGAGAGCAGCTCTTCAGGACAAGACTCAGCTGTTCACCTACACCTCAAGGATAAGGACCAAAATGTTCATATTTTGGACGGAGAAGACAGTAGGGGTGTGCGTTACTATAAGGTTTAGCATTGATCTGATACCAAGTAAATGTGGGCCAGATATCGATACTGATACGTTTTAATCATTATGTTATAACTCTACATATGAATTGAGTTTTACAACCTTAAAGTTTTTTTGCTCATTAGATTGTTAATTACATAAAACCCAGCACAGACTCTTGACACAATTAATGGTAAATTGAGTTCGATTCAGTTTATTTATATAGCACCAAGTCACAACAGAAGTCATCTCAAGGCACTGAACAGAAACATTCATT